AAAACCCTTGTTCCTTCCTATTATTGCTTATACTCTCTGTACACCAAAATTAGAAATAAGGGCAAAATAGTTCCTTCTGGGTATTGAGGGGGTGGGGGGGAGCGGGAGTGGGCAGAGTGGGTGGTAAGGGAGGGGGCGGGGGCAGGGGGGAGAAATGACCCAAGCCTTGTATGCACATATGAATAATAAAATAATTTTAAAAATCTACAAAGGATTTTATACATATTAAATAAATATATAAAATTTAAAATTTATACATATTAAAATTTCTACATAACAAATTTTTATATACTGAAGTATAAAATTTGAGGAAGGGTAGTCACTTTTAATAAAAATAATTTTTAAAACAAGGAGCAATTTACTTAAGTCTCATTATAGAATACATTTAAATAGTTATTTATGATAACCCAAATTAATCACACCAGATAGGACTTTATAATATCACTGGTTCTATGATGTCCCAGACAGCGTGTGCCTATATGGGTGCACAGGTGCATGTGCACACAGCAATCTTCCTTTGCCTTTTCCTTCCTATCACCAGGGGTTTTAATGCTTCCTTGTAGCAACATCTCCCCACTAGCAGATTTCAATCTTTTAATCTGCTGTAATACATAGTTAAATTTAAAGATACAAGACCTGGTGATTGATAACTAAAGTCATCACAAAGTCCTCATCATTTTCTTTTAGTTCTGAGTTTAAAAAATACATGCCTACTTTGAGGTTGTATTCTAGATCACTAGTGGTTCAAAAGTTTTTAATCATTAAGCCAGGTATGGTGATACATACCTATAATCCTGCACTTGGGAGGTTGATGTAGGAGGATTGTGAATTTGAGGCCAGCCTGGGCTACATCATTAAACTCTGTCACAAAAACCCAAACAAAGTAGCAATGAAACAAACAAGCCCCTGTCCTAGCAAGCATGAAGCCCTGAATGCAAATCCCAGTACCACCAAACAAACAAAAAGTTTATTAAAAAAAAGTGCAAAGGGGGGAGAAATGACCCAAACATTGTATGTACATATGAATAAAATGAAAAAATACATAAAAAATAAAAAATAAGATTCATAGCTAAAGGTTAGGTTTTAACTGTCTACGTAATTAAAACAGTAATAGAGAAAATATCACTGCTATACTATTGATAATAAAATCTTAGTAGTTCAGTTAGTGAGCTGGGTAACCTTCCTCATCACACCAGGGGATAGTTTTGGTGATAAGTAATGTTCTCAAAGCCATACTCCCAGTAAATGGGGAAACTAGGAATAAAATTCAATCTCATGTATATAAAGCCTTTTCTTTATCCCTGGTCAGTGACTTACCTTCATTAAAGCTTATCCAATCAAATCTATTTGTATTTCCTTTGCTCATACCATTAAAACTCAAAACCTCTAATAAAACTGGAGAGGGAATAACTAGGGGCAAAATTAGGGGGGAAAATTTTTCCCCAACTGGCAATATGTGGTAATAGCAGCTAATGGTCACTTAGGGATAACTTAACAAACATTCTTCAGAGAAAGTAATTTAAAGCAAAGATTCATCCAGTACACTATGATCTTCAACTCCTATTTGTGCTTAATAAATCATTTTGAATAAAGTTATACAAGAAACATAATTGAAAAATAGTATAACTTCAGAATTTCATCTTTAGTCAAAAGTTAAACTAAAAGCCTATGCATTTTAAAGAAAATAAACTAATATGGAACCCCTTTAGCTAATATAAAATTATGTGACTATCAAAATAAGCTTATAAATTTCTGACACCAATCAATATTACATGGGAATATGAACCATAGTATATACTATTCTTTGTGTTTCTCATTCTGAATAATTGCTTTTTACTTTACTGAAGTTCTGTGTTGATATTTGTCATTGTATACCAATAAACATATGCTAATCTTCAAAAAAAAAAGAGCAGCAAAGCTATAGTATGGTAGATTTAATGAGTTATCTATGTATCCTGTAATTTTTACATGATAAAATGAAAGTGTTCTATACTTGCCAATGAGCAATTCTTGATCAAAATATCCCCAGGAAAATCAGTGAAACAGTTCACAGGCTGGGACTTTTCAAGTCAGTTATTAATGCTTGATTGTGATATATTTAATATGCATCTACTTGCCTGAACTACCTTTGCAATTCTACTTTGCATTCTCCAGTCCTTATTTTCCCACTCCCGTGGGCATTTGGGAAATGTTCATTAAGTTTAATATCAGTTCAAATGGAATTTATTTATGATTATTCTGATATAAATCTGTCCAGTTATATAAAGACTTTTCAGTTGTCTGAAAAATGAACATAAAATATTCCATTATGTCTTAAAAGTTCAACATGTGAGAAAGTTTAAGAAGCAAATGACAATCTGAAGAATGTGATAACAAGGGAATATATAAATAACGGCACAGAATTTTGTATTACCCCTAGAAAGGGCTTTATAATCATATACAGTTTATAATTCCTTAACTAAACACTTGAAGAATTACATTGACCTATTCAAGGTCATACTGCTAGCTCACGAGTCAGAAGGAACATCTATATTTCCTGGTTTCAATCTTTTGGTTCATAGTATACTGTGAAACATTTTACTTTTAATTGTAGTAAAATATTCCTGACAAAGTATACCATCTTAACACTACTAACATGTAGATTTACATTTTGGAACAGGAAAGGCAACATAGCAAAGCTCAGAGTGGCAAAGGAGAACACATTGTCCCTTAGACAGTAAATCCTATGTATTGAGAGGGAGATACGTGCGGTTTGGATCAACAGCTCTGCAAAGAAAATTTCTTTTCCCAGATACAGCATGTACCATCCATTGCTTACAAACCTAAATAGGGGAAAGGCCAGCTGTAGTTCGCTACGTTTCATGAGTTGAATCAGAAAACCCTATTGAATCTCTCCCAAACCAAGTAAGAATTCTCTATGAATATGCTACACACAATAATATATAAAACAAAATATAAAAAAAAAAAACCCACGCATCAACCATAGGCATCATTGCCAATTAAATCATCACCAATAATAAGTACAGCTCTAACTGTTTTGCAAATACTCGCTGGGGGAATCATCCCAGCTGTAGGAGGTTTTCTTGGTTCTAGTTGTCTCTTCCTTTCACATGGTCAAGCATAAAAGACTAAAAATCTACCAGATATTGAGATACAAGAGACTCACTTTGCAATGTCCTGTTTCTTTGCTCTTTCAGATAATGCTACCAAGTATGAGTCACTGTCTCCCACCCACTTCCTTATTTTAACTTTCCCTGCTTGAGAGTCAGTATTTAAAATTAATTCATTAGCTGGAAGAAATAAGCCATTTGTTCTTTGTATATTTGGGATTTTTTGTCAGGGTCAGTGAAATTTATATTCCTAGTTTTAGAAATTTATTATTTTAAAATTATAACCTTAGTTGATTTTACTTCAGTTAAAGTTCTAACCATCAATCAACATTTTAGTTTAACATTTTAGAATTAATCTTTTTGAAAAAGTTCTGCCTATGATGATATCAGTTAAGGTATACAAAATGCTTATATATGATATAAAATATTCTAAGTTGGCTTAAGACTTGCATTTGTCATTGATAAATTTTCTTATAATTGTAAAATTTTCAACTTTCAACTCTCCTACATAGTTATTCAGGATAACTAGTGCCAGAGAGTAAGCAATGGGAAGTTTTGTCTACTCTTCAGAGATGTACACAGCTTTCTAATTCTAGGAAAATTTAGGATGACACTTAGATTGCACTTTTGATCCAAGAAATTCCAAAAACTGTATAAAAGCCATATCCATTGGTATTCCCAATTTTGTTTTTTGGGTGGTACTGAGGTTTGAACTCAAGGCTTCACACTTGCTAGGCTTGCAAGGCTGGCACTCTATCACTTGAGCCATTCCACCAGCCCTTGGTACTCCCAAAGTACTATCCTGACATAAAGAACAAAATTAAAATGGTTTTCTTATTGGAATTACATAAAAATTTCTGCTAATTAGTGGAAAAGACAAAAGTAGCATCAAGATATCCTAATCCGAGTTCTATCTGGTGGTCAATGATACACTATTTTTTTATTTTTTAAGATTTTAAGTGTGATAAATTTACTGTCTTAAAAAAATTCAACTTTAATTTACCAGAGCACCAATAAATTATGAATATGATCACCAGAAAATCAGCTCTTGTTTAATGAGATTTTGCACAAGAACAGAAACCTATCCAGTAGTTCCTTAAGCTACTTCCCTCTTCAGAAAGGACTGAACTTTAAGTTCACCACAGTTTCACTGTTCTCTAGTAAAAATACATGCAGCTGAGGCAGTTACTGACATGTCCTGCATTTTGCCATTTAGGTTTGTGATTTGTTATGCCAAAGACATAACAGTGGCCTAGTAGTCACAGCACAGAGGGGTCTAGGCCACTAATAATTATATACAGCATTGTGACCTTGTAAAAAAATCACACTTTCTGGGACTAATTCTTCTTCTATAAATGAATTGCTTAACAAATTAAGCCATTTGTTATAAAACTGAGTATTAACTAGAAAACTTTAAAGCCTGGAAAGAATTACAATGTTGAATGATTTGTTAGTATTTTCATATTTATGTCTTTAAAAGCATCATCTGCTACTGCCAAGTTTATCTTCCAGGTCTACTATTTTCTCTTTCACAGATTATGCAATTTCCTCTTGCTTATTGGTCCATAAATATTAGGGATACAGTATCAACATCTAAAGCAGCAAAGAAAATTTTCCTCCTACATAGAGATAACATGGTTGTGGTTTTCCTTTATCAAAGTCTACACTGTTCTGACTCTTGAAATCATAGGAGAGAGATCAACAGAAACTACACATAAAGAGAAAGTGAACTATTTCCTCAGAGAACAGGGAAACACCCAGTCTCTCCCAGACCTGGAGAATGGCTGGCTGCTGGTGTGTGTGGTCTGATTGATTCATTTCACAGGTGTTACAGACAGAGTTTTGAACAGCTGTGGACTAGGCCATGTTTCCTTTAGTCCCATGATCTACCTTTGTCTCCTGGTGCTGGGGCAGCTCATCCAGTTCCACAGGACTTTCTCCACTTTCCCTCTCTTGTATTTTGTCTTCTGTTTCTTCTCCTCCTTCTTTTAGGGGCAGCACTGAGTCTGTACTTGGAGAACCGCATCGACTGTCAGAAGCACTTCCATCACAGTCATTGCTCGTGGGAGACACAGAATCCATGGTAGTTTCATCTCTTTCTCCGTTCACTAAGTGTGTATCAAGTGAGGAGTTGGTAGTTTGCAAAGGAGCATGTGGGCCAAGAGAGACTGCTTTGTCCTCTTCACATGTCATCTGGTTTTGTGCTGCCATTATGCCATTAGCCACACAAATCTGTTCACCCTGAGTCTGGTCTGTATCATTTCCTTGCTTCTGTGGTGGGTGTTGGGACAGGAGTTTGCGTGGCAGTATGGGTGTCAATCCATGTTGTCCTGGGATTCGAGGAGCATTTAGGTTCACAGCAGAATCTTTTTTCAAATCACTGTAATTTGATAATGTGCTAAAAGATAAAATAGAAAGGAAGCATGAAAACATTGACAAGGAAAAGTTTTAGAATAAAGACAAGTTTATTCTGGTTGAAAAAGGATAAATTTTTCTAGCTCTGATGGTCGGACAAACAGATGGTTGGGATGCTATCCACATTTAAGTGATCAGTTAAAGATGCTGAGCTTTATCTACAGGACCCGGAACCTTTCCCTGGGGTATTTAATAATATAAGACTAGTTAGTAAAGACAGAATTGTAAGAAATATTTATATTTCTTAATATTTTAAAAAGAAGCAGAGCAGCCCCAGTTTATGAACTGATTATGAACCAAAAAAGTTGTTTTTATCTGGAAAGCAGAACACATTCTCAAAAATTTTATTATTCATGCTGCAATAGCCTCCAAGCTGGTCTCCACAATCAGACCCAACTCTGAGGGCCAATGATGTCCTGACAGACCTAGAGGACTGTGTGGTCCAGCACTCAGTATCCTGCTTCCTAACATTCCCCATCTCTCATTGTGCTCGTGTGCACTCCTTGTTTCCTGTTTGCAGTAGCAACTGTGTGCAGTTAGGGTACGTTCCACTGATGTTCTCTGCCTAGGACAAACTTTCCCTACCCCCACACCAGTGTGGCTTCCTCCTCCATCTTCATTCGGATTTCTGCTCAGACAGGACCTTTCAAGGGGCTTTTCTGGATCAGTCTATCTAAAAGACATACTCCATCACTAGCTCCACATCTTAGTATCTTAAAATCCTTATTACCACTTGATTTATATGTAATCCTAACAGTAATAACGGAACAATGGAACCTCACTCCCAATATATAACAATGTTCCTATGGAAATATTTGTATAGCATTTTCCTTTTCTCTTTTTTTTTTTTTTGCCAATGTTGAGGTTTGAATTCAGGGCCTCATGCTTGCTAGGCAGGTGCTCTACCACTTGAGTCAGCCCCTTTGTGTAGCATCTTAACCTAGGATTCCAAGGTAGGGGAGGGAACACAAAACTCTAGGCTATAGTCTGAGAGATTCCTATGACTTAAATGAGAAGAAATAAAAAGACTAAAATTCTCTGAGTTTGCAGAATGTGCTATCTTGATCTTTGTTTTATTCCTACCTCTTAGCACAGTACTTGATGCATGCAAAGTGCTCAATAAATACTTGACAGACTATGAATAATGATGATAATCATTATGACTGCGATAAGAGAACAGCAGATCCAGGAAGTCCAACTGAATGTCATCATGGTCTTCACTCCATGTTATATGGAACAGTTAGGACAGAATGAGAAACAGGTGAATATGCTGCAGACAAAAAGTGGGAACAAAGTCCAGGGTTCAGAATATTCCCCAGTGTGGGTAGAGTGCTGACAGAAAGAGTGAGGGATTTGTGTGGGGGAGAAAAGCAAGATCCAATGGACAAAGCTAAGATGTGTTGCCTTCTCTTCTTGGCTTCACCCTCACTCCTGCTCTGTACTGGAAAGGGACTAATAGCAGACAGCTGCCACACACATGCTACAGTAGAATTCTAACTGCTCTCTCTCTGTTTCCATTCATAATCTCCTTCAGTCTGGTCTCTAAGGTCAGATCAAACATCTCAGAGAATGTGAGAGGGAGGAAAAAAGTAAAGAGTAGAAAGGAAAGGAAAAATTTAATAGGAAAAAAAATGTTACATACAGAAGTTAGAGGTGATCAACATAAACAAACATGACACACTCCACCATTGGTATTGGCCTAGATAATTTCTCAGGCAGTCCTTGGGGAATCTGAACCACCATGTCCTTTACTGTTCTCACCGATGTCTGATAACCTGGTGGACAGATCTTTAGTGGATCCTCTCAACCAAACTTAGGCATGCCCTAGACTTTTCTAAAGGACTGCTTTGGATGACAGCTGGGAACTTCCTGTAATAAGTCACATCAGGGTACATTTGGGTGGGGTGGGCAAATCAGATAGGGAGGGGTTAGAAAAAGCAGTAGCTGAGCCAAAACTTAGAAGAATCCTGCTCTTGGTGAATACCAAGCCATAGAGAGAAACAGTGGCCTTGTAATAGCCTTATAAAAAACCATGTTTGTGTCTTTAGGAAAAATGAGTCAAACATGTCTTTATAAGTTAAAAAGAATACACATGCTTACTCTGACAAGAGAGAAAGAGGAAGAGAGAGAGAAAAAAGGAAGCCACAGTAAAAAAAAAGTAAAATCTGCTTGCTCCAACAGATACTTGTTCTTCCTATCAATTTCCTGAGGTAACTCAAGCCTAGTGATCTCCTTTTATTCCACAAAGTGGTAGTTTTAGGCTATGACCAGCAGGATAAAAACTGAAAACCACTCTGCCACCAAAGTCTTCCAGGCTGAATGCAATATTAACCCATTTAAGACACTGTTAGGGTCTGGCAATGACTCCCGGAGAACATACTATTTCTATCGGCAATGGACTCCGCTACAAGTAACATCCCTTCACCAGGCTTGTCAGGATGCTCACACTATGCAGGATGCTATGTGCACTCAGAAGAAACATGCTTCAAATGTCATAAATAAATTATACACATCCCTCCTGAGACCAAACCTTCCGCTAGGTATCAAAAATGACTTTGAATTTGTGCAGCTCAAGAAAGCAGATATTAAGTAGTGGAAAAACTGTGCAATTTCACATATAGAGAGAATTCATTCAAATCAATGCAAAGAGTAGGTTATAAACTAGTAAGGATTATAGGCTTCCACCATTGGAATACTGATGCCTTCAGGGATGAACTCACAAAGCCACTTCTAAAGCCTGCCTCTGGAGTCAAGGCTCCAGCCCTCCTCACAGTATGTGAGCCACTGGGTGTGGCTGCTAGAATCTTGTAGGCAGAAAAGACTGCTTTTCTGTGTTATTAAATCAACTTACTCTGACAAGCCAAAAAAAAAAAAAGGAATTAAATCATTCTTCTAAAGACTGCAATAATTTAAGATTGCAAAGGTATTGTTAATCCTACAGAGGGGGAGATGTTGAAGTTTAAGGATTTATGATGGAAGCCCCCATAATTGGTCTGGAAACAAAAATAAAGACAGCCTTCTAAATTACTTTTCTCTGGAATTTGTAACTATTTTTCAGAAGCACATAGTAAACTTGCATAATATTTTTTAAGCACATCTGTTTACTTTGAGATAACTTGTAACAGAGTCTTCCTATATAATGCAGGCTGTTCTTGAACTTGAGATCCTTCTGTCTCAGTCTCCAAAGTGCTGGGATCACAAGTGTGGCCCACCTCACCCCACTTGTAAGCACATTTTAAATAAGGGGCACTGCAGATTTGTTCTTGGCCACCATTTCTAGAACATTCCAAAAGTATTTCCAAGCTATGATTTCATTACATAAATAATAATGAATCTTACAAATAAAAAGTTCACCTAATCATAAATCATTTCCAAATGTTACACTGAGATGAATGGAAATTGTTGTTAGGATGAAAGTTAAGTTGTATACATTTTGTTTAATTATACACGGACTTCTTGTGACAGAAACAAAATATTGCTGATAAACTTAAATAAAATTCTAAGTCAGTGGTGGGAGATTGTAGTAAGAGCCTAAGAAAAAACAATTAAAGGTCTTTTAAGTAGAAAAGCAACTTACATGAGCTTGTTTTTATCTTTAAGTGAGAAATACTCAACATTTCTCCTGCTGTCTCCTCCCCACATTAGAACTAAAGAATATAAAATTCTGTCTATAATGGAAATTTGGCATGAATTTTGCTTTTGGTAATTATATCTCTTTGTAACACTTGCCATAAAATGGTTATGGGAAGAGGAGAGCCAGGGACTGAAATTAAATAAATAAACAAAAAATGAAATGGGTCAGAAAGAAGACAGGGCCCAGGAAAAGACAAGCCTACATAAATCATATTCACAAACACATAAAGTGAGAAACATAGAGACAACCTCTTGGCCATTCCAAAAGAATGACCACAGGGAGTAACACAGAGAGTGACACACATATACACAGAAAATGAGACAGTGACTCTATACAATTTTATAAGTGCTAATGGCCTATGGTGTTGCACGTAGGCAATACACAGTAAATTCATATTAGGGCAAGATTAAGTAATTTTTTTAAAATGCACTTGCTAAAGACCTACCAAACCTAATGCAATAAGATATCACATTTCTGATTTGGAAAACGTATAGCTTTATCTTTTCAAAAATCAGTTTTCTTGCTCCCTCTGCCTCTTCCCATTGTAAGTTAACTCTTACCTGCCTCCTTCAAAGCGGCTGATGAGATCTGATACCTTACTGGGTTTTTCTTTTGAGACACAAGAAGCAGAGGCAGGTTTAACTTCCTCCATCCTTGGTTTTGCACTAGGTAAAGCTTTATGCCTGGGGGTTTGGTGTATATTGGGCGAAGGTGAATTCTGCAGATATAATGGCTTTGGAGGCACTGTAGAAAAAAGAATAGAATTCAACATTTCACTGGTAGCTTGGGTGCAAAAACCTTTATCATTATCAAACTATTGTAAAAGGGTCTGTAAATTAAAATGGGACCTTAACCAAGGGACCTTCATGTATCTTGGACATTTGCTCTATGTGCCGTTAAAATTCTATCCCCAAACTTAAGTAGTTCTTTTAGTTTTAGTTTATCTTAAATATAGCATCAATAAACACCTTGAAAAATATTTTTTTGATATTGGGATTTGAACTCAGATTCTTGTGCTTGCTAGGCAGGTGCTCTACTGCTTAAACCAAGCCTCCAGCCCAATACCTAGAAATCTTTATAAGGCCACGGCATTCCAAACTCTATTAAAGATTACATAGCAGTTATTCATCTAAATAGAGAAAAGAAGGTACCAAACTGGAAACTAAGTCCAAGAAATACATTATTTGCTACAATACAACTTTTGTAATAATAAGACTTATAAAAGACACACCAGAATCCAGAGCTACTAATTTAAACAACATAAAAGCCAACAGAACAACAACGAACAACAAGTAATACCATGTTGCATTCATACAGCATCTTAACATTTAACAAAAGCATATTACCTCACTTGGTCTTAGGTAAAGTTTTGCAAATTACAGTCCATAATCTGAGTAGGCACCATTATTCGCCTCTTATGTCTATGAAGGGTTAGAGAGGTAAAATGACTGGCTAGGGTATTCTAGCTCCTTCCAAGAGTACTGCTCATACTAAATCCAGAAAAAGCGGATGGAAGGATACAGAAGTTCTATGAATATGTCTGTTACATTATATAGTTGGCTTGCATCAATATGCCACAAAACATTTGTTTACTAGTAAGGCCTTCAACTCAATTCACAAAATGGGAACAGATCATTTCATGAAATATTAAAATCTACAGGAATTCCCTGAATCAATATAGGTGAGAAAATGCCATAGGTATATAATCAGTACTGGAATTACTTATGAAATGAAAACCAGCATCACTTCTTTTAAAGATTAACATTTAGGGTAAAGGTTTTTCCACGTATGTATTTTTTTATAGCTGGCTTTAATAGATCAAATAGAATCATCTGTTATTTTATTCTTTAAACCCTTCTCCCATCTTCTGGAAGAAGGGTGAAGAATCAACGTTTCCTCCTAATTACATGCCCTATTTTCCCCCAGCTGGGTACCCAGGTTTTAAGATATCTCATCTCTTTTATACACTCAGCTGAATGACAGTTGCTGGATGTCCACTGACCTAGATTTCAACATTTCTGTGTCAGTAAACAATTTATTACAGGGAAGGAAAAATATATATCACAATGAGCTACAAGTGGGGCAGATAATTCACTTTATTCTTTTCAACCTAAGAAAGTCCAAATGAAAAAATATCACACTTTTTATAAAAATGATATTTTCTAAGGCATGTTCTAGGGAAATGGTTAGTGTAATACCATTGGGAAGCAAAAGGGTTTATAGAAGTGAGATATCTTTTTATTTTAAGAAAAAAACTTCTATGCATAATAAATATATAAAGTAGTAAAACTGAGAAGTCTCCCACAACCCACCTCCTCCCCAAAAAACTACTTTTAACATTAGGAATAATTAGATTTCTAACAAGAATATTGAAAGAGGGAAGTGAATATGTTTTTTCTAATTCTTTGTGCTTTAGTTGTTATAAATTATCATCTACCTAGAGTATACTCACTAAACACTCCTTAAGAATTATGTGCAGGACACTGTCCAACGCTTGAAAACTCAAACACAAAGGTACACATCAGCCAGTTTCTCAGTGTGACTTTTCCAACCTAAATTATGTTTTCCCTTCTGGGCTCTTTTCTTTCCCTTGCTGGGAACTGAACCTAGGGCTTCCCACATACTAAGCTTGTGATCTATACTGAGCTCTTGCCTTTTGCAGTGCCATCTCATAAACTGTTCATAGCATTGTACAATTTTTCTACAAAGTGCTTGTAAGTTTTAAGCAATTGTTAGATAATTAGTGATAGGAAGGATCAAGTAACACTAAAGTATCAATAAGACATTAAATATATTACACATGTAAAGCTTTTTCCTTCACAAGCTGGAGTTTCTTAGAGCAAGGAATGTTTCTTTTGACCACAACTGTATTTACAGAGACTACCTGCAATGTGTTTGGCAAAGGTGTGAAACAGACATGGGAAGGAATTAGTGTGTTATCTTGGGGATTGTAACCTAGTTGGGAGATTGTTTGCTAACTCTGATAAAGGTGGGTACTGGGTATTTTAGAAGCACAGAAGAGGCATCTAATTTAGCAAGAGAGAGCCCAAATATACAGAAAATCAGTAATAGAAACATTCTAAATAATAAAACACAAATGGTACATGGATAAGACAAATACCTCAGGAGAATGGCTAAAGTGTCAGAAACACTATCCTAGAAGAAAATTCTGTCCTTTTGCTCATCACTTATTGGTATATGTATTAGTTACTACTGTAAAACTTGACCTGACAAAACAATTTAAAGGAGAAGATTTACTTTGGCTCATGATTTCAGAGGGTTCCACCCATGGTTACCTGGCCCCACACACCTGGGCAGAACATCATGGCGGCAGGAGTGTGTGGAGAAGAGGCTCTTCATCTCCTGGTGGACAGGACAGGCCAGAGAAGGGGCTGGGACAAGATACAGCTACCAAGGACATGCCTTCCTGACCTACTTCCTCCCTACCCCCTAAAGTTTCAAGAACTTCCTGAAATAGTGCCAACCATTCAACACACAGCCTTCTGGTGTGTATGTGGGATACTTCACATCCAAACCATAACAGTATATAATAAAATAAGGCATATGTTGCTTAAAGACCTAATGAATGAAAATTATCTTTTACTTTCAAAGAGAAATACTATCTTGTATACTATGTATTTATGATGCTAAAAATCCAACTCTAATTACAAAACAAGTTCCCATGTTTCAATTCAGTACTCTGTATCCAACGGAAGTAACAACAGCAGGAATGAGGAAGGAATTAACTTTCTCTTTGTGGCCACCTTTCTTACTTCTGAGAAACCAAACCTGAGCTGCAGTCATCTATTTTTATCTGTACAGGTTCATCTGTTCCTTCTTTGCAGCCTGGGTGTTCTCAGGGACTTGTCCTAGGGAGTCCTTTTTACATCATCTGCCCCCTCCTACACTGCCTCTAAAGACACGCTCCATGCTCCACTGAAGCTCAATTCCCTTCTCTCCCCGTCGCTGATCTTGCTTTCACACAGAGGACTGGGTGGTGGTTTTCCAAATGCTCTCTGGACATCTTCTGCATGTCCCATCAGAATCTCCACCAGTTCATTACATCTAAAATGCAGTCTATAACTTCTTTCGGCAAACCAGCTTCTTTGCCTGTGTTCTCCACTTCTGAAATGTATATTGAACACGAGTTATGTATGAGGTAGTGTTCTGGGCACTGGGAACATGTTCCTCGCCCTCCTTCCCTCTAGCATTACTCCCATTTATAAAATCATTCTCATAGCCCAGCTGATTAGACCTTTCTCAAAGGCCTTCATATCTCTCACATACTCTAGCTCCCATGTTTTAATTCTAAACTCTTTGCAAAAAGGAATAATAAAATTGATTCCAAGCAACTTGTACTACCAGTCTCACTAACTTTTCCCCTCGGTACTAGAGATTGAACCCACTGTCTTGGGCATGCTAGGCAAGCGTTCTATCACTAGAACTTTTGTTTGTATTTTGTTTTGAAACAGGGTCTTTGCTAACTTTGCCTAAGCTAGCCTCAAATTTGACACCCTCCTGCCTCTACCTCCTGAGTAGCTGGTATTATAGGTAGGTAACACCTTTCCCAGTTCAGTCTTATTAACTTTTACTAAGAGATGACAACGCTAATCAATTGTTACTATATTAAGAATTTGAGAGTCCAAGCTTAGAGAGAAAGAGGCATAATCAATTAGCAATGTCTGCCCTTTGTGCTAAATGAGAGATAATTTGTTATTATTGCTTTAACATTAATATAATAGCAGCGATCCCACATGATGTGGATCTAAGAGCATATGCAGAGCAGCAGAATATGCACCCTCTCAAACATGCCATCTTGTCATAAAGATTATTTTGAGCAAATGATATCAGAAAAACAGCAGGTTCAAGAAGGGTACTTTGACCCTCCCCTTTTATTTTGGGAGAGTAACTTATGGGAGACATCTTCCCTATACCAGAAAAAAGTCATATTCTTATCACTATTGATGGGGGGTCCTGAGGCTGAGAAAAACTTACATTAACAAATGTAAGTTAATGTATTAAAGTAATCCTTATCTTCCTAGTTTTCCCCCGGTAACTCAAGGAAAAGCTCCTTTGTCTTGTCATTTTTTAAAAATAATTTATTTCTCTTTTTATTTTCTTTTTGAGATAGATAGGGTCTCCCTTTGTATCTCAGGCTAGCCTTGACTCACAACTTCCTTGCCTCACCCTCCTGAGTGCTAGGATTTCAGGCACTCACCACTATGCCCTGTTATTTATTATACATAATTCAATTCAGTATATAAAAATTCAGATATAATTGCTTCTTTGGGTCTCCATTTTTCTTGTGGAGACTCCCCATGTACATATGAAAAATAAAAATTACATCTTGCATCCTTTTCTCCTACTAATCTGTCTTATGTCAGTTTAATTCTTAGTCTAGCCACAGCCCTAAAAGCATAGGAGAAAATTTTCCTCTCCTACATATATAGTATCATGAATTAGAAAGGAGGAGTGAGTAATCTCCTTTCCTTATGAATCAGTATTCTCCAGATTGGTTATGAAGCTGTTATAAAATGAAAAGACTTAAAATCTAGAGCTAAGGAAATCAGGATTTTATAAAACAGACATAGTCAATGTTTTTAAAAGGTTTTGTTTCCAAATTAGTTCTACAATAGGAAAAAAAAGATCATAAATTGTAGACAAGATTGTAGTCTCTATTGATATTAGAAACCATGAGACTGGAAAGTTCTAATGCTCAAATTCATCCAAACAAAGCACCTAAG